AATCATCTGCATACAGTAAAAACTGCTCTTTAATTACACTCGAAATATCATTGATGAAAATATTAAATAGTAACGGGCCCAGAATGGAACCCTGAGGAACTCCAGATGTTGTTGCAAATTTGACAGGCTTAAACCCATTAAGCTGTACAAACTGAGTACGATTTACTAGATAGCAGATACAGTAAGGACGAAAATTGTACCCTCCTCTATTTTAACTTCTAAATGAAAAAAGATAATGACAAAACAAAAACGAGGTAAAACTTAAGAGATATTATATTTTGTTATAACGAGATGCATTTTACTTGAGACACGTAAGATAGAGGGAGTTACTAGCTTTAAATTTTCTAATGGAAAGTACTGTCATGTGATACCTCATTTGAAAAATATTTTCTATATTTTTACGTTCATGTAAACAGATTTAGGTTTTATGTTTTTACAGAAATTATATTAAATAAATTCATAAAGTAGGTTAAATTCTTTTTTTTATTCACCTCAAACGATCATTACCGGAGGTATAATACCTTATAAATGCTGTTTTTTCAGTAGTATACAATAGATAATTAACATTTTGGCTAGTACAGAGTAAATGTCAGTATCTGTTATAAATTTAAGTTATTTTTTACTGTTAGAGGGATTTACCACTGCACACATGACAATTTTTTTGTAGCTGGTACTTTGTTCTTATACAGACATGTTCTGGGCCTTTACTCATAAGTTACATTCTTGTATTAACAATTATTGTTTATTACTAAGGAAACGCTTTTTGTATTTACTAAAATAAATAAATAAATTAGGAATATCAAAGGTGATTTAAAAACCACTTGACGTATTAAATTTTTCATAACTTACTAAGCTTATTAAAAAATTATCTTCTAACATTATCTAACATTTCTAGGATTATTGCGGCACACTAGGATTATCAAGAATGTAATTTTTGTAAAATTAAAACTGTTTGCGTGGACGTAAATATAATCAAAATATCCTTCAAATGAGGTATTACATGACTTTACTTTCCATTACAAAATTTAAAAATAGTAAAGCCCTTTATTTTACGTCTCATGTAAAGTGCATTTCATTATAACAAAAATATAATGTTTCTCTAATTTCACATCGTTTTTGTTTGATGTATATATCTTCTTGCATTTTAAAAACATATTACAAAATGCTTTCATTTGACATCGCAGGATTGCATTAGAAAAATTCTAACTTCCAATTTAACCTCTTCCCCCCCCCCCCCCTCCCCAACTGACTTACAAGACAAAGTATTTTCGTTTATATTTAACGCCTAATCTGGGCCACTTATTACTTCAAATTTCAATTGTAAAACGAATGTGACAGACGAACAGACAGAGACATAAGTGTTTCTTATTGCCAAATTTGGGTACTAATGCGCAAATTACTTGAAAGATTCTTTGTTTTTGTCTTACAAATTTTACCGTTTTTTCATGTTTTGTTTTTTTTTCAAATTTAAATTTGATATTGTTTTATCACGAGAGAAACGAGACGAGACAAGACGATAGAAAGGCTCTCTCGAGCGAGAGAAGCGCTTTCTCGTCGAGACGAGAGAACAGTTTTCTCTCGCTCTACGAGACGAGACGAGAGAGGCCACTCTCTCGTCTCGTCTTGTCTCGCGGCATCACTAATTAAGAATAACGTGATAATTTTTAAATGCGTATAACATTCCTCTTGAAATATACAATAAACAAACTAAAATTAATACGTAACATACAATTAATTAGGTCCGTCTCTAGGTTGACATTGCAGGTGTATATATACGAGTCCCTTTGCTGTGTCAAAAGAGAAAGAATATCTTTATCACCAACTATCAAAAGCGAATGTTAATTTTATTTATGATTTGATATTAATTGGAATTCATTAAATACAAAATATCGAATAATTAAAAAGAAAAACTATTCATAGCCAAAACTATTCAGATGTAGTTTTCAAATTCTTTATTTGCTTTGCCATTGAAAGTGAGTTCTCAAAATCCTCTTCATCAACCTCATGATAAATTATTTCAAGTTCCAAAACTAGAGACGGTTTATCAAAATCGTCACATTCAACTCAAAGAGAGCGAATTTATGGAACAAAATTGCTTAAAGTGCTTAATACAGTTATATTTCAACATGTTTAAAGGTAATTAGAAAAGTAGATATACTATACAGGCACCACTACCAGTATAGGGAAATCAATGTGTTAGAGAGAGAGGAGCCTATAGGTATGGGAAATCAATGTGTTAGAGAGAGAGGAGCCTATAGGTATGGGAAATCAATGTGTTAGAGAGAGAGGAACGATTCGCGCGGACTTGGTAAGGCATAGTGGGATCGCATGGTTCGTGCCAGGCGCCCCGCACCCCCGCCCCCGCGGTCAGCGGCCCCCACCCCCGCCCTGGAGCATGTGATACCTCGTTGAAAAGGTATTTATGTGTAGATTACAGGAAAAATATTTAAAAAATTCTCCTACCTGAAAAATCAAAGTGAGTGGTTAAATGATTTAGTGTTACGATGTCATCCGACGAACAAGGACGCAAACTTGAAGAATTTTGTGAAAATATTCGTAAATTAAATAAACAAATAGCTTTGTACGAAGATAAGAAAATAATCGTAGCGCAACTGGCAAATCTAAGTGTGTGGGATAAAGTATTTCTGAATTACAAGACGCCAGCAGCTCAATATCCACTAAGAACGATTCGGCCTACAAGATGTTACAAGTAGCAGAATCATTCATCATCCTAACGGCTATTTTTAATAATGTCTTATATACAAATGTCCCCAATAACGTCAAGAATTTGGCAATTTGTATTAATGATGTAAAAAGAGATTGTAATCGAACTGAATGGACTTTGATGGATCATAAAGTAGCAAATAATGGACAACTTCCAGTATTCTTCAAAGAAATACAGCCAAGACAATTCTACAAGATAAAGCTTATATTTCCTGATAACACGAAGAGCGATTCAAGATGGTACGAGGCCGATGAAATCATCCAATATGATACATCAGTTATACTTTTATACATTATACTTTTTGGAATAATAATAATATTGTTAAATATTGTTGTAAAAATTGTAAATCGCAAATGCGAATCATCTTGCATTAAAATTAATATTTCTCGGTATCATTTCCTGCTGTTCAAGTATTAGATGATTTTTCAATTAATATGCCCAACAACACTCATATAAATGCTATTTTTCAATCAAATTCAGGTCGGTCCTATGTCTTGTACAATACTATGTCGTATATAGAGTTTTCTAATGATTTTACTATCATATTAAACAGAGGACGAATAAGAGACGTATTTCCTGGAATACCTCAAGATATTTCTTCCGCATTTCGATGGATCGATGGGCATATTTACTTTTTCCGGCAGAGCAGTTACTACAAATTTAGTGAGTTTACAAGAAGAGTTGTTGCGGCAGGAGCATTTCATTGGAATTTATTTGGAGTACCTTGTCCAAACGAAAATATTTTGCAACAATTAAAAACTCTGTTATCTAAAATTATATCTGTGTATAATTAAAAATTATATTTTATTATAAAAATGTGCTGTAGAAATAAAATAAATTTGAGAATTCCACTTTTCTGTATTCTACACATAAATACCTTTTCAACGAGGTATCACATGCTCCAGGGCGGGGGTGGGGGCCGCTGACCGCGGGGGCGGGGGTGCGGGGCGCCTGGCACGAACCATGCGATCCCACTATGCCTTACCAAGTCCGCGCGAATCATTCTTCTCTCTCTAACACATTGATTTCCCATACGTATAGGCTCCTCTCTCTCTAACACATTGATTTCCCTATAATGGTAGTGGTGCCTGTATAGTATATCTACTTAGAAAGCTTTGAACTTTTTGGAAAGATGCTTAATATATAATATAACTGTTTCTTCTTAGTATTAGTAGTATTGCTTGTACTAGGGCCTTCATTTTCTTTCCTCGCTAAATGTTATTGTCACAAAACGAACTGTTATTTTGAACTAGACAAACTCTGATAGAGGATTCTGATTATAATTATTATTATTATTATTATATGCAACCGCTTGGACGTTAGTGTTTCTTATGCCGTGGTTTGTACATTGTATGGCTTTTAATTTTAAGTAAAATCCAGAGACTGTACTCATTTTACTAAAACTACGGCTATACCAGCAGAAAGCTTGGAACTGAAAGTACAAGATGGCGGCGTTACTTTATTTTTTAAAAAAGTTGTCTCTGATCTATTTTACCCTGTACTTTTGAGTTATATTTAGCATTTATTTTCCATTTATGTCCATATATAAGTAATTTTTTGGCAAAAACTATATATTATTAAAATAAAAGCACCAGTAGTCGACACTGTTCCATTGGTCGACACCTCGTATTTCAAACTTTAAAAATAAGCAAATGGCAACGCGGCAAGTGTTTGCCGCGCATTTTCCGCGTCATTCCTAATCTCGTTTGCGCAGAAAATTACGCCACCACGTCTTCTGTCATAATTATTGTTTACAGATTGACAGCCACATGTGTTTTTGTTAGTGAATATTTCTGAAACTGTTAACAAGTAAGTATTACAATTCATTATTTTTTTTAGGGCCCAGGGTATCTTTGTAGAGTTATTTAACATGCACTGCAGTTTTGAAGGTGGGATTAACAATAAACTTTAGTGTACTGACGTTTTTTATTAAAAATTGTGAGTAGCATGGGATGTCGACTTTTGGGCGCTAGAGATTGCGTGCTCCCAAAGTCGACACTGTGTCGACTATGGGAACGTTACCTTAATGGCATTTTGAACATGATATAGACACTATTTTTACCGTTCCAGTGTTCGACATGGGTGTGGATCAATGGCTCATACATGGGTGTCGACCACTGGAACAAATGATTAATACGTACTAAACAATATGTTTTTATTTTTTTATTTTAGGAAATATCTCCTAGAAAACTTCGCAATTATACAGAAGCCCAGATGTTAGCAGCTCTTGCTGATGTTAAAAGGAGAATATCATACAAAAAAGCCGCTAAAACTCATGGGGTTCCCAGAATCACACTTATGGATAAGCATAAGGGCAGGGTCCAGTGCATTCGAAAATGGGTCCACCAAGTACTTTTACCTCCAATCAAGAGAAAGAATGACCAATCCTAGTACCCCTATAAAGAATAAAGGAGAAGCAGCTGTTACTCCGTTTTTGTCAGAGCAAGAGCCCTCCACATCAAAGCTAGACCCTGAATTACCATCCCAGTTCAAAAGAGTGGTCCTATGGCCTGAAAAAAAGAATCCTGTTAAATCTGCACGTTTGCGAGAAAAGCTTCCGGCTGTGGTAACGTCGCCACAAATGATGGAATATTATAAGAAAAAAGAAAACAAAAAAATAGAAGCTGAAAAGCAGAAAGAGGCTAACAAAAGAGCAAGGGAAATAAAAAAGGCAGAATTAGAAATGAAAAAAAGTCAAAAAGCTGGAACAACAAAAAAGAAGAGGGTGATTGAAAGTGTGTCCTCAGACGAGTCGTCAGAGTCCATGTCTTCTCAAATATCTCTTCATGAGTCTGATGCATCTGATTGGAATGAGATGAGTGACGAGGAAGAAGAAGTTTCGGAAGTGAAGTCATTCAAAAATTTGGTAGAAGGAGATTTTATTTTGGTTGAATATAAGGGAGGCAAGAGGATGCTGTATAATTTTATTTACCTTTGTGTTATCCAAAAAAATTATCTCAGAAGATGAAATAGAAATAATGGGTTTAAAAAGCATAGATGCGTCAAAAACAACATTTGTCATAAAATAAAAGAAAAAGACATATCTTACAATTAAGTCACACTATTTCACATACTGTGTCGACTGTTGGTACATCATTAAATTTCGGGTGTCAACAGTTGGAACAGATTCACTTGAAAAGAAAAAGATGATAAAAACTAAAAAACTTAAAAAAAAATGATTTTAATGTTAGGATGCTTATAACAATATCTGACAAGTTTATTGACCAAAGCATGTTTACAGTCTATGTCAAAAAGTAGTTTTAATAAACATTTCAAGCATTTTTCTTCCTTAATGTGTCGACGACTGGTGCTTTTACCTTATGCGAATTCCTTTCCTGTATGAATATACTGTTTATGCTCAAAACCAGATATGATATATGTGTATTATATTCTCAATATGTGGAACTGAACAAAATCACATAATATATTGCTTGCTTATTTTTACCTTTTTCAGTATATCTCTATTCGTTATTTAACCACAGAGTTAAGATCTACATGTCCCCCAGTTTACGGTAATTTATGGAAACATCCTCTAAATAATCCATAGCAGAATCGTAAATTTAGTATGAAAACCAGCATAAAAAGTAAATCGCGTAGGCGGACAGAGATATCGAAAATACCCTCGAACAAATACAAATTCAGATATCGAAAAGAGGAGTTTATTATTCGAACAGAAAAGTTTGATGGGATTCTACTCGCAAGGAAGAATAACTCAGAGAATAGCTCCCTGTTCAAATAAATAATACAAGAGATATATTTTCTCATCCAATTTATATTCACTTCAAAAAAGTATTTCCTAGTTCATCATTTTTTCGTAATTTCAATTCTCCACATTTTTTATTAGGTATCTCTTTCGTTAATAAAAGGAAAAGTAGTGATAGAAAATGTATAGGATAAACATCTGTATTACTAAGTAATTTTTCTATATTTTTAATTTTATTTAACAATATTGTAGTCCTTTAACTTTAGTTTGAAAAAGTGTATTATACAATTTATTCCTCAGCCTGTTATTTAAAAATACTTTCAATCGAAAGGCTTAACACGAACCGTAATCAAAGCAGAGCTGGATTTAAACGCTGCTTTGTTTTCAATGGTTAAAAACAGGATTGCCAAATTTAAGCCTGATGAATCTTGTAGTAGAGGTCCAAAAATTGATATTGCCTCGGATTCGATTAAAAAAGTCCACCGTATCGTATTGGATGACCGTCGAGTAAAATTGCACGAAATAGCAAACACAGTGGGTGTTTCAAATTAGGGTGGGCACAAAATTTAACTGAAGAACTAGAATGGCAACCCTCACCTTCTATTGTCCTGACAAAATCGGTAGTGACATACCTAATTAAAGAACATTCCCTTGTGAAATTCAAGGAAATATGGGATGTAACAAAAAACTGCAGAGTTGCCAGGGAGCTCTTAAGTTATCCTGATAACACAGCAGCAAACAAATACTTGACTATGATTAGACAGAATGTGCGCCTAGTCACAGGCATTATGACTGGTCATTGTCAAGTGTGGAAGCATTTCCATATCATGGGGCTGTCAGATTCCACACTCTGCAGTGGGTGCAAACAAGATGAGACCACCGAGAATATCCTTTACGATTGCTCGATGCTCTCATTTATTAGAAGATTTGTGTTTGGCGAGTATCGGCTAACACCGGCCGATATAAGAGAAGTACCTCTTGGCGAATACGTTTAATCTTTAGGCTGGCTCATGAGCTAGGAAGTGCCTATCATCTTAGGAGGATGCACAATGGGCCTAGTGAGGCCTAAGTGTCGTGGAGGTAACCTACCCTCCACACGTTACAGATATAGATATCACCGGTTTAAAACAGAACGACAAAAACTGGCACATAAGGTATTTTTCGTTATAAAGTTTTAAAATAACAGTTTCCGAAACTCTATAATGGTCTTAAATCAAAATAAGATAGTGGCAAAAACTGTTAAGTACCGACAAGAACTACTTCGTTACTTATCTTGCCACTAAAATGCCATGATACTTTAAAGTCCCAAGTGATGATCACTGGAACTATTCTGGTATCTTTTTGCCTCTCTGTATACCCAGTTACTTTATTTAGACATTTTAGTGGCACTGGTGTGTGGCAGTAACTGATTTACTGGTACTATATAGTTTTGGGTGCTTATAGTTTCATTAAATTGAATAGGTGTAGCCATACCCAATAAAATAGCCTAGAAAGTACCCCAGGAACTAAGACTTTATAGCAAAACATAAACCGAAAGGATCTGGTACCATGGGTATTTAATGTGGTCAATAAATTTAGTGGAAGTAGTCAATTTGGTTAAGATAAATGTGTAAAGAGATAATAATCTCCCCCTTGAGTCTTCCTTTCTTTGAGTCAAGAAAAAACAACAAAAAGTTGGTGTAACCATAATAAAAAATTGTAGATCTAAAGAAGAAAATATTTATAACCGTTTCTGATGCATTTGCACACAGAACCACAATTTGTTTAGTAAACCACAATGGCTGGAGCCCATCATAAGCTTTTCCCATGTCAAAGTATCAGACGAAGGAGGTAGACAGTCTTTATCTTGAGAGTGCTTAAAAACTGGCTTGCTTGATAACCTGACGTAACGCATTTTGTGTTTATGAAAAGAAATATACACTTATTAACTGTATTTATGGGAGATGTTGCATACAAAAGAATCACAAATATTTGCATGGTACGCATATCTTCATACAGTGCTTTTCAGATAAAAGTATCCACCTTAAGTAACTTTTGAAGGACTGATTATTACAAAAAACAAAAAAATACGTCAATTAATATTCGAAGGGGGAGATATCATGCCATATTTAAGTTTGCTAAAAAAGTCACCCTTTCACCCCTACTATCATCCCTTCAATTTTTTTAAATGGCTTGCCCCATTTTTTTATCCATTTTTGGATTGCTCTCGTTTAACTGATTTCAAAAATGTATAAAACATGGGGATTAAAGTAATTAGTTTACGATCTACAGAATTTTAAATTAAAATAAAATTGAATTGTGCAAAACTTTTATTTTAATGATTTTGTCACAAGCGTTTCCAATGACAAAACGAATATTTCATTTTCAAAATTTATTATAAAAATTGTTCAAAATGTCCACCAATTACTTCCATACAATGGTATAACCTAGATTGAAAAGCCTCCCTGACATTACCGAACACGTGTGCATTTAAATGTAGGCATTCATACTCTATTCTTTGTCGTAAATCTTCTAAAGATTCTGGTTGGGTAGCAATTTTTGTTTTTAAATAACCCCATAAAAAGAAGTCTAGAGGTGATAAATCCGGTGATCTAGGTGGCTACTCCATCATCGAGCTTCTTCTACCTATCCAACGATTGGGGAAAGTTTCATTTAAAAATTGTCGTACTGGCAAAGCAAAATGTGGAGGCGCTCCATCCTGTTGAAAGACAAGCAAATCTTCAGAAAGATTATGATCATTTTCTATTATTGTTGTAATACGTGGATCAATTACTTCTCTCAATAACTCAAGATGTGACTCTACATTTAAGTTTCCGTCTAAAAAGAAAGGTCCGACTATGTGGTCACCTAGGATACCACACCATACATTTATCTTTTGAGGATTCTGTGTGTGGTATTCACGCACAACATGTGGATCACTCTCAGCCCAATATCTGCAATTATGTCTATTAGCTAAACCATTAACTGAAAATGTGCATTCATCCGAAAAACAAAGGTTGTGCAACAAATGTGGATTGTCAGTCAAGCGATTACTCAATAGTTCACAAAATTCAAGACGACGATCAAAATCATCTTCATACAACTCTTGAACCAATTTAATTTTGTATGGATGGTACTTATGCTTGTGTAATATTCGATAAACTGTGGAAGATTAAACACCTACTTCTCTGCTTATTGTTGTCAGTGACTGTGCTTGTTGATTTTCAAGACTTACTTGTCCTAAAACTGCGACTTCAATTGCTTCGTTATTTACGAGTTCCAGTCGGTTATGTTTTTTATTGCCAACTGACCCGGTTGATGTAAATTTATGCATAAGATCAATTACATACTTATGAGTTGCATGACCTCCTTGGTGTGTTTCGTTGAAAATTCTAGCAGCAGCTCGTGCAGAACTGTTATTTTTGTAGTATAAACCTACAAGTTCAATTCTTTCTTGTAAACTGTAAACCATTTTCAAATCAAATAAATAACCTCAACAAATCAATGTGCACATGTATCAAAATACACTATAAAAGTAATTTATATTCATTTTTCAAATCTCCAATACCTTTACCATGTATCATAAAAAACTTCAAGAAGTTTTTAGCGGTACGATTAAGGTATAATGTATTCTAAATCCAATTTTGCTGCAGTCAGTAAGGTGAGATGTAAAAATTTGTCACTCAAATAATGGAACCCTGTAGATCACAAACTAATTATTTTAAACCCCATGTTTTATACATTTTTGAAATCAGTTAAACGAGAACAATTCAAAAATGGATAAAAAATGGGGGAAGCCATTTAAAAAAATTGAAGGGATGATAGTAGGGGTGAAAGGGTGACTTTTTCAGCAAACTTAAATATGGTACGATATCTCCCCCTTCGAATATTAATTGACGTATTTTTTTTGTTTTTGTAATAATCAGTCCTTCAAAAGTTACTTAAGGTGGATACTTTTATCTGAAAAGCACTGTATGTATGTCTTCCCATTACAAACTATTCAAAAGTGGAATTAAAATTAGAATTTGCCATCCTCACTTTCCTAGTTTCTTTCTTGCCTGCTCCACATAATGAAGACATGGTATCGCATCAATCTGTTGCAGAATTAAACACCAGCAAAAAGCTACAGATCTCCTGTGACAGAAAAAAAAGAGGTCCGTCTAATTCTTCATTCTATGAAGGTGAGTTAACTGATTAAAATTGAAGACGATTTTGCTCTATCCTCAAGGGTATAGTTTATTGTTTTTCCTTCAAAATGTTTTTTTTATTAGCTGTTCTGCCAAGAA